CAGAAAGATCCCCTGCAGAAGAAAATGGCAACCCCCTCCAGTATTCTTGCCTGGGAAATCCATGGATAGAGGAGCCTGGTGGGCTACAGGCCATGGGGGTCACATGACTTAGTGACTAAACAACAGAAATAGTTAAGCAGGTGTAAGGAAGATCTGATATTCTGAAATGACTTATTTTTTTTGGCCGCCCTGTGGAGCATGGTGATCTTAGTCCCCTGACCAGGGGTTGAACCCTTGTTCTTGGCAGTGAAAGCACAGAGTCCTAATCACTGGGCCACCAGGGAACCCCTCTCATATGACTTAGCGACTTCTGAATTCTACCTTTGAGACATACACCTGAAGTGTACTATGGACCGATCCCAACCTTTCCCATCTGAGGCTGTCAGCATGAACCAGAGAAGATGGAGCCTGCCATGTGCATCAGTATCTTCTCATTTGGAAGCAACATTTTGAAAACACTTCTGCAAAGCTTGGGCTGATATCCAGGTGCTTGGGGGTTTTTTTGGGGGGAAAATTTCCAAAGAATGTGAATAAAACAGGTATTTATTTCTAACCTCAAAGTGTACTGTATAGGGAATCTCCCCACCCCCAAATTAACTCTAATGTGAAGTCCCCATCCTGTTAGATAGGCAAAAATCATAGTTGTAATGTGGTCCCCCCCACCATTACCTTGAGACCCACAAACAGTTAGGAACTTTACAAGCTCACAGGAAGATTGAGGAAAAGGCCCCCTAATCCCCCACCTAGAATGATCACCTCAGAGATCATTTTTATCCGAGGTTGACCAGTCTCTTTCAGTCATATCATTTTTGTTATGGAATTTAAGTCATGTCTGAATCTTTCGCAACCCCATGAACTGGAGCCCGCCAGGCTCCTCTATCCATGGGATTCTCAAGGCAAGAATACTGGAGTGGGTTGCCATTTCCTCCTCCAGGGAATCTTCCAAACCTAGGGATCAAACCCAGGTCTCTTGTATTGGCAGGCAGATTCTTTACTGCTGAGCACTTGGGAAGCCCAGGTCACATTAGACAACTGAAATTTTTGCCATAATTGGGAATATGGTTTACAGAGCTTGTTCTTACTGCCCTGGGGCAAAACAAAGACAAACTGAATTTTTCTTAAACATATTCTTGGTGTTAAAATATCCTTTCCTTTACAAAATAACCCTAATAAGCTTTGTTAAAGTCTTTATTTGGCAAAATATTGACCCCTTTAAGTCAATTTCCATTTTCGTCTGTGTGTGTGTGTGTGTGTGTGTGTGTGTATTGGCGATGGGCAGTATTGTAAAAAATAACAAAGCCAGATACTAGTTAAAGCAGTGAAAACAGATTTTATTCAGTAACTACTGACCAGAGAGGAAAGAAATGAGCTCCATTTCAACTTGTGCAGAAGGGACTGGGCACGTTAAAGGAAGAATGTAGGATGAAGAAACATATATTGTACAATTCAATTTAGATTGAATGTTTAGAAAAGGCAAACCTGTAGAGACAGAAAGTAGAGTAGTGTCTGCCTCGGGGCAGGGGTGGCAAGACAGTACATAGGCACTTGGGTTGATGAAATGTTCTAAAACTGAATGCTCGAAATCGCTGCACAACTTGGTAAATTTACTGAAAATCACTTAATTGTACATTTAAGAATGGGTGGATTTTATAGTATATACTTTACCCATCCAGAAAGCTGTTTTTTTTTTTTTTTAAAAAAAAAACAAAAAACAAAACAAAACTAAGTGGCAGCGGCAGGGGCAAGGCAAAAGTGCAAAATTACAAAGGGTTCGGTTCGGTCGCTCAGTTGTGTCCAGCTCTTTGCGACCCCATGGACTGAAGCACGCCAGGCCTCCTTATCTATCACCAACTCCCGGAGCTTCCTTAAACTCATGTCCATTGAGCCGGTGATGCCATCCAACCATCTCATCCTCTGTCATCCCCTTCTCCTCCTGCCCTCAATCTTTCCCAGCATCAGGGTCTTTTCAAATAAGTCAGCTCTTCATATCAGGTGGCCAAAGTATTAAGAGTTTTAGCTTCAGCATCAGTCCTTCCAATGAACACCCAGACTAATCGCCTTTAGGATGGACTGGTTGGATCTCCTTGCTGTCCAAGGGACTCTCAAGAGTCTTCTCCAACACCACAGTTCAAAAGCATCAATTCTTCGGTGCTCAGCTTTCTTTATAGTCCAACTCTCACATCCATACATGACTACTGGAAAAACCATAGCCTTGACTAGATGGACCTTTGTTGGCAAAGTAATGTCTCTGCTTTTTAATATGCTGTCTAGATTGGTCATAACTTTTCTTCCAAGGAGCAAGTGTCTTTTAATTCCATGGCTGCAGTCACCATCTACAGTGATTGGGTTGGGCAGTGTCAATTCTTTTAATCTAGCTGTATTTGCCTGCTGGCCATGATGGAGGTTAGACCTCTCTTCCTACAGAGACTTGGTAGCAGAGGCTTCTTTTCCTGATGATTACATTTGAAATGAATGGCTTTTAGGTCCCTGAGAAAGACACTCTTATATTGTGGGAGAATCAAAGGAACAGGGGTCAGAAAGTAGCTCCCACTCACCGCGACTAGAGAAAAGCGTGCGCAGCAACGAAGACCCAGCACAGCGATGAATAAACAATTTTTTAAAAAAAGAGGAAGGAAAGCTGAGTTTGGTTTAGCCTTCAACTTAAATATTTTATCTGACACCTCTGAGCACTTCTAGATTCCAAACACATACTTTAAAGGAGCATGCCTCCTACCCTGCCTACCACCCACATGGTCACTCCCTTTAGCTACAGTAAGATTTAAGATGGCGAAGCATCCACCTGCAGTGCAGGAGACCTGGGTTCCATCCCTGGGTCAGGAAGAGCACCTGGAGGACGGCATAGCAACCCACTCCAGTATTCTTCCTGGAGAAACCCCATGGACAGAGGAGCCTGGCAGGCTGCAGCTCATGGGGTCACACAGAATTGGACATGACTGAGCGACTAAGCACAGCACAGCACAAGATCTAAGTAACAACGTTAGAATAGAGACCAAGTAGAGATTCTAAGGGATTTCCAGCCCGGGCAGTGGTAATGAATTTGCCTGCCAATGCAGGAGACCCAAGAGACAAGGGGTTAATCCCTGGAAAAGATGAAGATCCTCTGGAGAAGGCATGGCAACCCGCTCTAGTATTCTTGCCTGGAGAATTCCATGGACAGATGAGCCTGGTGGGCTAGAGTCCACGGGGTCACAGAAGATTCAGACACGACTGAGCGGCTGAGCACTCAAACGGATTCTAATGTAACTCTCCAATGCTAATTATTGTTACTCCATACAAAATGTATCTGCTTTCCAAAGATTCCTAGAAACGTATCACATCCAAAGGTGGGGAGTGCGTGCAGAATAATCCACCAGTACAACTCCTGTCCATGGCTTCATTCAATTTAGAAAAAAAGAAATGTGATTTATTTTTCAATATGTACATTCACATTTTAAATTTTAAAATCTAATTGCAATTACTTCTAAGTGCATTACAAAACACATTTAACCCAAAGGAAGTCCGATATCTGAGAGGACCTATCAATCCATCATGTTAGTAAGGAAACCAAGGACATTACCTCAAAACTAAGTAGCACACTAACTAGGCCAAAATGTGGTCATTTAAAAATTCCTTTTCTAAAGATGGGGACTTCCCTGATAGCTCAATTGGTAAAGAATCCCCCTGCAATTCAGGAGACCCCAGTTGGATTTCTGGGTCGGGAAGATACCCTGAAGGAAAAGCCGCAAAACCCAAGAATCCCGCCCACAGAATTTAATGAACTGTCCGTTCAGAAGTGTAAAGAAATATGATCGCTGTTTTATTTATAAACTATTCGTATGTGTTTTGCATATGAAACAGTAATGGTTTTGATTCTTTTAGCGACTGTCCTGTCATTATTAACTAATAACCGGAGAGGTAAATTTAGAATTAAGGATCAGAAAAAGCTACAAGCCAAGCTATTTTTTCCTCAAAAAAGGATTATTTTTTATTTAAATTTCGTCTTTCCTTTTGATTCTGCACATTAAACGTTGTTGCGGTTGTGTTCTGGTTCGCCGCGCAGTCGTGTCAGACTCTCTGCCCGCTAGGCTCCTCTGCCCATGGGGTTCTCCAGGCAAGAACACTGGAGTGGGTGCCATGCCCTTCTCCAGGGGATCTTCCCGACCCAGGAATCGTTGTTGTACCAGAAGAGATATTCATTACAACCCTGAAGGAGAAAGTACATTTCCCCATTACTTAAGCAAGGAAGGTTTTTCTTTTTTTAATGACCACTCGGCAGCCGCGTGTTACTAGCTTACGGCGGACAATGGCTTTATGGGGCCCGTTTGGTAGGGTACGTCTGTAACTCCCCGTCTTCTGCAGGCGAAGTCTCGCAGAGAAAACCGCGAATCGCCGCGGAACGGCCCGGGAGGCGCGGAAGGACAGCGGATCCTCCGGGACGCCTCCCCCAGCCTGACTACTCCAGGCGCCGCCCGGCCCCGCCATAAGAGACTGCCTCCTCCGCCACTTCGCTGGGGAAGCGGGAGAGTTCGCTCTCGAAGGTGATTGACGGGACGCGTCCTCCAATGGCCGGCGCGCTCGGCCCCAGCGGGCTGGGCAAGGGCCGCGGCACGCGGAGGAATCTCTCCTGCCCTTTAGTCCCGGGCTAGGTGTTGCGGCAGGCGCCATTTTATCGAGCCGCCTGTCTCGGGTGCCGCCATGTTGGTGAGGAGAAATCACCGTTACGGCCACTGTCCAAATCCCCGCGTCGCTGCGCGCCGCCCGCCCGCTCCCAAGCCTCAGCCACCGGCGGCGAATAGAGACTAAAGCGGCAGCGCCGGCAGCGCGGGGCCGTGGCCCAGTGTTGGCAGTTAGAGCCCCACCTCTCTGGCGTGGTTGTTAATAGACTGGAAAGTCTGTGTCTGTGTCGCTCACTAGTAACCGTGAGTTTTTACCACTTCGTCACCTCCCGGCGGCGGCCGGGAACAGGTACCCGCAGGAGGCGCAGGGATTCTCCCCGCGCCCCGCCGCCGCCGGCCTCGCAGACCTGCCCTCCAGCCCCGCCCCGTTCTTGACCAAACATGACAGACTCTGAACATGCAGGGCACGACAGGTCGGGAACCCTTCTTGTCTGTCTTTCTGTCGGCGGAGAGGAGGGGTCTGGGGCGGCGGGAGCGGGCCGGGGCCGCGCGCCTCCTGCATGACTTAGACGTCTCTGTGTGGCTCCATCCGTTCCCGTGACATGCGCCCGGACGGAAAGCCCGGGCTCGCGGCCGCGGGGAGGCCGGCCCGAGTCTCTTTTTAGGAAAAATTTTAAGCAATCCCTAAAGCCGTGTATCTGTTACAGGCTTATCTCTCGCAATCGGACATGGCGAGTTTCAGACGTTTAATACAAAATAGTTCAGATTTTGCAAACCTGCTCTTGTAGCACAGTTTTCTCCTCCTGTGCGAGCTCCATGGATCGTCCAGTCTAGCCCGATTTTCCAAATTCTATGTATCATTTGAACATTTATCTGAGATTTTGTTTTTTTTTTAGTATTTACTATGACTTAAGAGGCCCATTCTTGGTTCCAAGGAACAGTTTGGGGGGTGTTTACATATTTTAAATAGCGTATTTAACTTTTGGTTAGGTTTTTAATTTCTGTTGCTATCCAACTTAATAAAAAAGAAAGGGTGTACTTTCATTCATTAAAACTGCTGGAACAAAATCCATTGCATCTGATTCTTGTTTAGAATATTTAAAAGATCCAGAACCTGGCAAATTACTCCTTTGCGAATGAATTAATCAAAAGTGTACGTTGTACTCTAGGCTGTATACAGATTGCTGAAATTTTACCTGTGGAGTAATGTGACCTGCTTTTGGTAAAGTATACCAAACACTTTTAAACCTAAAAGCAGAAATCACAAACATTCCTGAAATTTGAAATATCAAAACATCTGACAACCTTGAGAGGGATAAAAATGTTATTTTAACAGTTTTGGTGCTATAATAATTAATGTAGGTCACCAGAAAGCAAGTCAAGTAAACGTAATTTTTAGAAAGTCAGAATGCTCTTAGAAAAATTATGGGCAGGTAAGCTTGCACTTGACACATTTTTCATAATTATTTTCCATTATCCTGTTACTAAAATGAGAAAATTCTTGAAAGGGGCTAACTAATACTTGGAGAAGTTTTCCACTCCGAGGATCTGTGGACAAACCGATGATGGGAGTTTTGCTAATGCAGCCTAAAATTCATTCTTGTGTGTGGAAGAAGGAACGCTGTTCTCTGTTAGTTCACAGAGCAACTTTAATATGTAGAATTATGTATTCTACATAAGGAAGAAATCGTGTTGCCAAATTTACAGATCTTGATTTAATTTGCTAGTAAGGGCCTGTGATGCCAGAATTTAAAAATAATTTGTTTTAAAATACAAATCAAAAAAATAAATTAGTGAATCAGAAGTTAAAAATTAAATTTTAAACAGTTCTTTGTAAGATATATGTAACCAGATTAGTAGTAGGAACTAAAGATTAAGCAGTAGTGTTGTCTTTTTTTTTTATTGCTTTATATTAGGATTAAGAAAATATTTTCTGGTGATTTCTGAAGCAGTAAGATTAGCTCAGTTTTAATTTATCCATTTGTTAAGTGACAGTATTTTTCTGAGGTGAGAAGATAGATTTTTCTTTTTCACACCTGTTTTGGTCAACCTGTATGAGAATAACTATCTGAAAACAAAGTGATCTAGCAATCGGGAGAAATGGTTCTAACTCCCAACTTCACTATCATTAGCTTTGTGAACTTGAGCAAGCTTAGTTTCTTAATTGTGCAGAGGGGTTAGAGGTTCTCATCCATCTCTGGGGAGTTTTGTAAAAAGTATTGAAGTCATTTCCATTGGTCTGAGCTTCTTAAAGCTCCTCAGGTAGGTATAGTATGTACCAAATTGAAAACCAGTCTATGAGATCAATATAAATCTTAGCTAATCTTCAGAATCACTTTGAGAAATAAAAATTTTTGTCCTGTCCAGAGCAACTGAATCAGAATCTCTAGGGAAGGATTGTGGTAATCTGCAGTTTTTATAAGCTCCCTGGGTAGTACTTAAGAAATTTGTGGAAAAAATGGACTAATCTGTGGAATCCCCAAATATTCTCTGTTTCCATGTTATAGTTACTTTATACTGTAGTAAAAATTTCCGTGAGTTAGTTTGGAAAAGATATATGAATTCTGGTATTTGGAGCTTGGCTTTTGTCTCAAGGATGTTCTTTTTCTGATATTTTGAAAATTAAGGTATATTGTGTGAGTGCAGGAAAAATGTTAAATCTGTGATTTTTATTTTCAATTGCTATAATTATACAAATTAAAATATTACTATGATAGTTAACATGAGATTCTACATGTAAGTGGAAATTCACAGAATGTGCAATTTTTTTCTTTTAAAAAATTGTTTTATATGGTAAACATTTTACATAAAATTTGTTTGCCCAGTGAGTTAACTTACTAAAAAATACCCATTTGTACTTTCCTTTAAATAATTTCATTCCTGAAGTGAAAACGTTGTATTTTTATAAAGTGTTATGAATATAAAAATACCTATAAATAAACTTGTGGCTCTGTAGACTGTTAGTAGAGGACGTCTGCTTAGAATTAAATCATAGAGGTTGAGAAGGAGTTGGGCAAGACAAAGGGAGATAAAGTTCTTGTCTCTCTTTGCATTCAGGTCTTCCCTTTCGTCCAGTTCTTCTAATCACAGCTCCAGGTGCCTATCTTTATATTTCAGCTGAATGTTGTCCTAATCAAAACTACTCAGAAATAACTCTTAAAGGCTTAATACTGTGAGTCCCTGCTGACAAATCTGCAGTTGAAAAGGAAAGATAAAATACACACCCAAGTAACTTACGTAATTTTTTGAAATATGCTAAAGGTAAAAAGTTTTATAGGCCCTACACTGGGAAAAAAGATAATTTTAACATGAATTGTATGAAAGCTTGTGCATCTGAGAGTCTTTAGTTGATAGGAGGTATGGGTAATACTTTCCTTTGTTCTCGTGCTGGGTTGTGTCTGACTGCGACCCCATGAACTGTAGGCCGCCAGGCTCCTCTGTCCATGGGTTCTCCGGACAAGAAGACTGGGTTGCCATTTCCTGCTCCAGGGGATCTTCCTGACTCAGGGATCCAACCTGCATCTCCTGCATTGCAGGCAGATTTCTTCACTGCTGGGCCACCAGGGATTCCCAGTATTTTCCTTTGGAAGGGGGTTATTCTTTGCCCATTAGGAACAACCTTCCCACCTTCCCATTCTCTCCCTTCCTTCCTTCCTCCTCAGGTAAACCCAAAATAGCAAAACTCCAGCTAGTCAGAACTGTACTAGTTTATATTAACTGTTCCTTTCCCTCCCTCACATAGAGATTGAAACCTGACATCAGAGAGTGTGAAGGGATGAGGGTGAAGATGGTTACACTTTTCTTTTGTAACTGGGCTTTCCTTTGATTCTCACATTAATCCCATGAGGTAATACAGTATTGCAATGCTCAGTGATTTGTCTGAGATCCCACAGATAGAGACCTGGTGAGAATTCAGGACTATAAACTCCTACCTGCAATGTTATTTTTAACTCTTCATTAAGTTAAGCATGGGGAGTTAATCCAATAAATTCTAGCCTTTAGTTCTTGAATTGTTTGGGATTGTAATGTGGTATATTTAAGATAGCCCTGTATTCTGAATAAAACCTTGGTTTCGACCCTAATTTTTCCTCTAGCTTGGTTAATGCTCTTTTCTTTTCCATGATTATTTTTCTTGTTTGTGAAATAAGGTGGTTGAACTGAATTACTTCCAAACTCCCTTCTACTTTGTCAGTAATTTTAATTAAAAAAAATTGTAGATGCCTTTTCTTACATTCTGGAGAAGGAAATGGCAACCCACTCCAGTATTCTTGCCTGGAGAATTCCATGGAGGGAGGAGCCTGGTGGGCTACAGTCCATGGGGTCCCAAAGAGTTGGACACGACTGAGCGACTTCACTTTGTTACATTGGAATTCACTTTGATGCCATACACATCATCTGGTTTGCAAATATGTTTACTGGAGTAAATGTCTCCCCTCAGCAGGCAATTAATTAATTTATATATTCTTCCAGTTTTATTGAGTGTGATTGACATACAGCACTATAAGTTTAAGCAGCACAGCATAATGATTTGATTGTATATACATGATAAAGTTAGTATGGCTGTAAGTTCAGTGACCATCCATCATATAAATACAAAGTTAAAGAAATAGAAAAAAGTGTTCTTTTCCTTCTGAGTTTACTCTTAGAGTTTACCCTTAACTTTCCTATATAACATACAACAGTATTAATTACATTTATTGTACATTACATCCCTGTGCGTGTGCGTCGATGCTCAGTCGTTCAGTCATACCTGACTCGTTATGACCCCATGGACTGTGGCCCGTCAGGCCCCGCTGGGGTTTCCCAGGCAGGAATACTGTAGTGAGTTGCCATTTCCTACATAACAGCCTTAGTACTTATTTATCTTATACCTGCCTCCATCCAATTCCTTCTCTCTCTTCTGTTTATTTTTAATTGTGTTAAAAATACAACATAAAACTTACCATCTTAACCATTTTTAAGTGTACTGTTCAGTAGTGTTAAGTATATTCACATTGTGGTACAGCCAATTTCCAGAACTCTTCATCTTGCAAAACTGAAACACTATTATTATTTTTGATTCCCGAATCTACTAATTTACCATCAAAACTGTCAAAGTGAGTTTTTCTTTAGCAAATGTAAAGCACTCAAGGTATACATCATATTCAGGTTTGATGTTGGAAAGCACTTTGACTTTTATGAACACATTTGTCTTCTAGCCCCTCATGAATTGTTTAATTCACTTTTAAATTTTGTTCATTAAATTTTTGTTGAAAAGACTTCTATGCCAAATATAGTGTTAAGCATTGGTGGGAAAAAATCTGAATATAATATCACTGATCTTGCTCTTCAGGATCTTATAATCTAGTAGGAGAAACAGATTGATAAATATGTAGTTGTTTTTAGCACCAGAATGGAGGTATAGACTGAGTGCAGTGGTGGCATAGATGGGGCTTCAGGAGGTATGAAATACCTGGGTCTGGAGGATGAGTAA